CCACCACCCTGCTCCATCTCCCCATCACTCTCTGCTCTGTCTTTCTAGAGGGGACAAGGAGGTCATTTGTAGCTGTGCCCACCCCGGTCGCATCCCAGAGCCAACGCCTCGTCCCGGCAAAGAGTCTGGCACAAGCCCACAGCACCGTGGTTTCAGTGGAGATGGAGGATGTGTCCCCTGGGAAACTGGGGAAGAATTGATGGACTTTGGCTGCAAAGGAAGGTGGAAATAGAGAACAAGATGCCCGTGTCACCCAGCACTTGCCCCAGGGTTACTGGGCAGTATCCCCATGTTCCTTAGGCTGAATGAAATGGGAAACGGGAAAACCCTGTCCCAAGCGTGAACCCACACAAGAAACCAGGAATTGGTCCTTTCCTGGATCAGTGGGGCTTTTGGAGAGGTGATGCTGCTCCTCCACCACATCATGCACACAGCTCTGCTCCGCAGGGGCTGCGAGAGAGGCCATCTCCAGCACCTGGAAGCCCAGCTCCCCGGGGGGAACCCTCATGCCCTGGTCCCCCGGGGAAGGAGCAGGTACATCGGGCTGCACACCACAACTGACCGCCGTGCCAGGCTGAGCAGCTCCACCGTGCACGAGCTCAGCCATCCCACGATACCCACCCCGCAACCCAGCAGCCGCCTTCCTGGGCAGGGGCAGAGACGTCCTCCTGATGGCAGCTCTAATTCACCTTCCCTGCATCTCTCCAGAATAAACACGAACCTTCCTGCTCCGCCTGGCCTCCTCCTCTCCAAAGCGCTGGTGGTTTGGCAGGGCTTCGGCGAGCGAGGAGCTCAGTCGCAGGAGACACCGCTCTGCAGCACCAGACATACCGCCTGCCATCCAAGCACATACCCCACGAGCCACGGCCAAAAGAAAAGCAGGAAAAAGAGAAAACAAATCGCAAAGATGAGTCGGGGCCCTCTCCCGACGGGCTGGAGCTGCTCCAGCTGTGCAAGAGTCGGTGCAGGAGAGCTGCTCGGCAGCTCTGCCTTTACTTTCTCACAGTGATAATCCTGCTGGGTGATTGAAAAATGAAACCCAAATGCCCTCTAACGGCCTCGCACAAGTGTGCAGAGGGAACGTAAGTCCCACAGCGGGGTGAGAAGGGCAACTGGAAAGGAGCAGCAGTTTAGGTGACGTGTGCAGGCAAGGTACGGACAGCGTAGATGTGTATTCGTGGAACTGAAAATAAAGATGTGCTCATCTAGGTGTGGAGCTTGTCTGGGCCTGTCAGTGCGGGGTGAGCCCGGCTCCGGCGAGCCCTCGGGAGCCCTGCTGCTCACAGGCTGCAGGAAAGGCCTGACCCAGGACGGGACAGCTTGGAGGCACCTCAATTCAGGCTGCTTAGAATAAGAAAATAAAAAAGAAAAAAAAAAATGTGAATCAAAGCACTGAAAATATTATTACAGGATACTGTATCCTGGATTAAATTCTGCGCCTTTGCTTTCAGCCAGCAGGAAGCTCCATCAGCTCTGCTGATGGGAGCGGTGGTGCCTGGGTCTCCACTCGCTGCTGGGATGTGCGGGAGAGCACAGCGTGGCGCTGGCTGCGTTACTGCTGGTCCGCAGCCCCAGGCACAGACCAGCCCACGCCGCTCCTCAGCCTCCCCAAAACCAAAGCCCGAACTCTCCCCCTGTAACCCATCCCTCCCCCTGCCAGCCCCACACCTCCTCCGCTCACCCTGGAGCAGGATTGCCCCCGGCATCATGCCACCATCGTCACCAGCTGACTGTCCTCCCGACCCAGGCCACCGTGATACCGGGGCAGATTCGGGGGTGCAGGGGTAAAATGCTGAATGGCAGAGGGAGCTCCCCTCTCCTGCCTGGGGAAAAGCCTCCCCACAAGCAGCAGAAAAGGCAGGAGGGCCAAGGCAGCCACTCGCCTGCTCCCCCAGCCCCTGCAAGTCCTGACAATAAAAAGAAAGTCAAGGATGCTTTTCAGTCATCTCTTGGGGAGGGAAAAAGTAAACCAACAAATCTCACTGTTCATGCAGTAAAACATTACTTACAAAGAGAATTATTTACTGTGGTCATCTGGTGCTCTGACCAAATACAAATCATTAATTCAGTTTGATATGGGGGCTGTGGTGAACCTCTGGCAGACAGCAAATTGCAGAACGAACATGGCCCGGGCTGCAACTTTTGTTGACTTTTTTCACTGCTGCAATAGCCGTGCCAAACAAGCGGTGACACGAGGCTCATGTAGGCTTTAAAACCACCATATTCCTCGATTGACATGGATAAGACATATTCTGTGTATTGAAAATCCTGCTTTTTAAGCCAATTCTTGTTTGAGCATGCTGGGACATGGCCACCAAGGCTGGGTGAGCTGCTGGCAGGGAGTGCTGCCAGGACTCTCATCCCCTCCCAGATCCTGCCCAGCCACCTCTGGGTGATGGTAAAAATCAAAAGGTCACCTTTTAAGCAGCAACCTGCAATTCTCATCTCACACAGAAATGACTCAACGCACCTCTGCTATTTATTTTTTTTCTGCAAAATGTCATTTCTCCCTGATTCACTAAGCAGAAAACATCTAAATAATGAATTAATGAATCTAAATAAATCAGAGTTATTTTTCCCTAAGAATACAGGGAAAGCAACTCTCGCAATTTGATTGCCAGTCTCACGCTATTTGCTGTTCTCTCTAGAGCCCTGCTACCCTGGAAACATGTAGTTATTTGAGGATCACATTTATTGCAGCCTCTGATGAAGCAGGTCCTGGGCTTTGCCTCCTCTTGTGGGGCAGTAGTGTGTGTGCCACCCACAGATGAGCATGGTCACCTGTAAAGGTAAAAAAACCAAAACAAACAAACAAACAAACAAAACAACAAACCAGAAAACATCTCACCCCTGTTCTCAAGGCATACTGCCACATCTGCACACATAAATGGCATGTGATTTGACAACCATATTCCTGAACCAGTGGTGAGCAACAGATCACAGCCCGCTTCAGCACAACCACACACAGAAGCTGAAAGTGTGCACTACTCCATGAGTAAACAACATATATTATAATTTTTTTCCAAGCCATTCTCATGGCTGATGACTTTTAAACGCATGGAGTTGGCTGGGAAAGGGCTGGATGAGCCCCTCATTAAAGCTACACGTTTTCAGATGCCTCTCCAAGCACAGAAGCACGGTGCTCCATAAAAACATAGATCAAGGCCCTTTTTTTGCTGTTGGTGAAGAGCTTTGACTTGGTTCCCTGAAAGCTCCCTGGCAGCAGCATCGCTGCGGGAGCCGGGCGCCGGAGGGAGCATCCCGAGACGGGGTGCTCGGGCAGAGCTGGGCGGTAGCACCTCTGCTGTGGGTGAAATCATGGGTCGAGTGGACACCTCAACCACACACGAGGCAGGCACGGGAGAGGAGCCATGGTGCTGCCTGTGTGCCTCCAGCAGGCCCAGGGAGCCGGAGGTACGGAGGGCTCGGGGCTGCAGGCAGGCACAGGCTGTGCTGCCCGCGCCCTGCCCTGCTCCTCTCTTCCCATGGCAGGAGGCACCCAGCCACAAGCCTTCATTCTGGGGACAGAGAAAGTTTCGCCCACGCTGCTGAGAGCAGCTTGTGACCCTTCCCACGATTACAGTAGTCCTCCCAGCCAGGCTCTGCCTCAGTTTCCCCAATGGATGATGCTTTGGGACAAAGGGAACTGCTCCCAGTTTGTTCCGCTCATCTCGCTGCACACTCGCCCCTCCAGAAAGTTGCTTTGGAAGTGCCACTCCGACCCCAGGCTGCAGGAGCAGCTGAAACACATGGAGGTGAAGGGGGCAAAGAGCAAGGCAGGATGGAGGATGGCTTTCTTGAGGGGTGGACCCCCATGGACCCCCTCCTCTGCTGCTGTTGTTGCTCCTCCAGAAGGACAGACCCACCAATGCCTCTCTCTGCAAACCTCAGAAAAGCCACATCCTCACCCCACAGAAACGGCTTTTAAGCTTCACTTCTCGGGACACACCCATAGCAGCTAGATTTTCTGGTGTAGGCAGGAAATAACACAGACTTTCTCGTCATTTAACTGCTCCAGCAAGCGCTTTTTGGAGTCAACACACTGATACCCACAACAAGCAGCTACCACCATCCTGTGTGCCCAACCTGCCGTGTCCGAGCATAGTCCAGCAGAGAAGTCTGGTTGCTCCCAAGGAGGGAAGGGCAATCAGGGTGGCTCAGCAGGACTCAACCCCTCCTTCCCCACTGGCAGAGGAGGTACCAGCCTCTTCCCACTCCTCGCCCTAGATCAAATTCCAGGAAAGCAGTTGGCCGTGGCCATTCCTGGGCCCACCCTTTTACCTGAAGTTGTTTTGCCAAGGCCATTTCCCTATGGCTTGCCAGGGTAAACCTTCTCCCTTCTGATTGCTGGCCTGTTTACTCCTGCACCTGGAGATAAAGTTATTTCTGGCCTCATTGATGCAGCAGCAGGTGCCCAGCAATGCAAACGAGAGCTCACTTTCCTTGGGGGTCCTCTGTGGGGTTGCTGGTTTTAGCTCTTGCCCCAACCTCACAGTATCTGGGTGTCTTTTGCACGACATCCCCTGGGACAGAGAAGGCAGGAGAGGGGGGTCACAGCCTGTCTCACATTTCCCCCCCGCACGGGTGAAAACCACTCAAAAGGAGGGGGGAGAAAGGAGGATTTTTGTGTTTGGGGAGGGACACAGGCAGCAAGAGCGGGCTGTTGCTGTGTGCTGTAGGGTTCGGCGGGGAGCGGGGCTTGCTGCCCCCACTTTTTCTCTCTGCCTTCTGCCCACTCCCCGCGCTTCTGGGTGGACAGGACAGTCTGAGCGGCGGGGCCAGGAGAAAGGCTGTCAGGAGTGGAAGCGAGGGGCAGCTCGGGGGGCTGCCAGCCCCTGCTCTGGAGGGATGGGGGGTTTCTCCTCGCCCCGAGTGGGACAGAACAGCAGGCTGAAAGCTTTGGTCCCTGGCAGAAGACATCTCCCACCCGCTCTGAGGCAGAGCCCCTCTCCCGCCTCCGTGCTCCCTTCCTCCCGCTCCCTCCAGGCGCACAGCGTCCGAAATAGCTGGGGGCCTGCGCGTCCCTGGCTCCCTGCTCAAAATATCTCAAGCGGGCTGGCGGCAGGCGCCGAGGGAGCGGCGGAAGCCGCCGCACACTGAGACTCTCTGCTGAGGCCGCCCTCACCACCACATCCTCCTCCCGCTCGGGGAGGGGAGAGCCCCGCACCCCAAACCCTCCGACCGGGGCCCGGCCAGAGCGGGTTGGCGAGGGCAGCCGCAGCCCGTGCCGGGGGGACGTGGCAGCCGCTGGCGCTGGGCACGGCGCTGCCGGTGCCGCCCCACCCCTGCCGCGGGCACCGGCCGCCGCTTCGCCAGGCACCGGCACCCCCGAGCAGGGCTGCGGCAGCACCGATGGCCGCGGAGGCTCTCACCCCGTGGCCCGGCAACGGCAGCGGGGCCCCGTGCCCCGTGGACACCGCCTTCACCCAGCGCTTCTTGCCTGCCGTCTACCTGGTGGTGATCCCCCTGGGGCTGGCGGGCAACGGGCTGGGGCTGTGGCACCTCTGCACCAGACCCCGGCGAGGCACCCGCCATCCCCTTGGCCTGCTGGTGGGCAACCTGGGCCTGGCCGACCTGCTGTACGTCAGCACGCTGCCCTTCCTCGTCAGCTACTACCTGCGGGGCAGAGTGTGGCTCTTCGGGCACGGCTGGTGCCGGATCACCAGGGGCCTCTTCCACCTCAACCTCTACGCCAGCATCGGCTTCCTCACCTGCATCAGCGTCCACCGCTACCTGGGCATCGTGCACCCGCTGAAGGCACGGGGCAGGTACCAGGGGGCAACCTCTTCCGTGTGGCTCAGCGCCGTGGTCTGGGTGTGGGTCGTCGCGCAGGTGGTTCCCGATTTCGCCTTCAGTAAGATGGACAGCACGGGGATGCGGTGCCACGACACGACGGGGCACGAGAACCTGGGCGTTTACTTGCTGTACACCACGGCCATCACTGTGACTGGGTTTGTCATCCCATTCCTCATCATCATCGGATGCTACTGCCACGTGGTGGTGGTGCTCTGCAGGAACAGCACTGTGGACCTCAGCCTCCGGAGAAGAAGCATCAGTCTGGTGATTCTCGTGATGGTCCTCTTCTCCATTTGCTTCCTCCCCTACCACATCTTCAGAAACCTCAACTTGTTATCTCGACGCTGGCAGCTGCAAGGGTCCTGCACACAGGCTTTAAAGAACATCTACGTTTCCTACCAGGTGACCCGGGGTCTTGCCTGCTTCAACAGTGCCCTCAATCCCCTGCTTTATGTGATGACCAGTGAAGACTGCTTGTCACGTATGAGGACCATCCACCAAAGAGTCAGGCAGTCCCTGGGGTCCACCTCTTCCCAGGTGGATAAGAAGATGGGCATCATTCTTTGTGAGGAGGAGGCTTCTGATGAGCTCTGAGCTACCCAACACCCCCTCCAAAGGATGCACCACTTCAGTTTGCACTTAGCCCCTTCTTGGGAGCAGCCCCTCTACCTTGATGCCCGTTTTGTAGAGGCGGTGACTGCAGCATCACTGGCCACATCTGTGAGCAAACTCGGACCATGTTTTAGAGAAAAGCTACTCAACCCAACCATTTTGCCTACTGTATGCCTGGAGATGGAAAGAATTTAATATTGTGTTTACTCCAGTCCTGAAGTATTTCTCAGTCCTCCAGTGCAGCGGTCCAAGCGGGTTAACATTCCCCTGGTTCCCCGGCTGCTCATCAAGCTCCTCAATGAATGAGGGATAGGGGTGAACGATGCCTTGTCCCCCCCCACTGCATCTCTTCTTCCCCACAGGACATGGGGTTGAGACAGGAATCCTTCCTCGCCTAGGGAGAGGGCTCTGGTAATTAACTACCTACATCTCAGGACAGCTGAGAGGGTAAATTTTTGCAGGGGGGGGAAGTGCTTTGGGAATGGAAATATTCATAAAAATATCAGCTTTTAAATATATGACTAAGCTGTGCCAGTTCCTGAGTTAGTTGTTCTTGGGTGACTGAGCTGCTTCAGGCTCTGTGTTATCCTCTACTGCCCACCTCCTTCTCAGAAGAAAAAAGAATTTTAGCATTACTCACTTCTGGAAGAGCGTATAGCAGACAACAAATTGGCATTTTAAAGTTTCTGGAGGCTGTTGATTGGAAGTTTTTTTTTGCAAGGCGAATGACTGCAGTAGCCTGAACCGCTGCTTTCAGCAGGCAAATCCCAGGAGAGTTCTGAAATCTTCAGGTGGGTGTCTTCATCTAACTCTTTCATTCAACCTTGTGAGAGGATTAGATATGTCTATTAAAGATTAGACATGCAAAAAAAAATAGAAGCAATGCTGTTTTAAAGGCTTGTGAAGGCAATGTTCAATGGCAAGGGCAGTCCTGTTGTTGCCAAGGAGGTCTTGGGGATCTCTGCTTCAGAGGGAGCAGAGGCTGCCAAGCAGCATTTTGGTTTTTGCTCTTGCTGTTCCCCACCATGAACAGCTTGAACGTTTTAGTCCTGTGAGAGGAACAATGTGATTTGCAACGGCAGAGCATGCAGCTTGGCTGAAGGAAGTGGTTTGTGAGTTAAAATCAGCCCGTTCTGGGAAAGTGCTGACCCACGAACGCTGCGCTCTTTGGACCAAAGCCCGATATTTATCACAGTCACCTGCTCCTCGCACGGACCCAGCTTTGCAGCTGCAGGGAGGGAGCTGCGGCTGGCTTTCAGATGTAGTTAATATATCTAAAGTGCAAATAAACACCTAATGCTTTCACTCATTAGTCGTCTGGCTTCTTTTAAAGCTTTATAGGAGCACAGGAGCCAGGTGGCCTGTGGGCTGGAGCAGGGGCCTGCCTGCTGCAGGGAGCGGTGATGAGTTTCTCAGGGCTCTGCGGAGGGGGAGCTGCCCAGAGCGCTGCCTGCCTGCGCAGAGACAGTGCGGGGGGCTGGCCGTGCACTAAGGGGGGTCCCCAGAGTCTGCTCAGTTCCTGGCAAAGCCCTGAAACTTTCAGTTCCCACCTCATCCAAAGGAAACCCAGAGACCAAGTTTAATTTCCCCATTGTGATGTTCTGTCTCAGCAGTAGGGAAGATCTTTGGGATATTAGAAGCAGGTCTGGTCTCTGCACGCACTCCCCAGATCTGGGCTTCTCCAGTGCTCTGAACTCTTCTTTCCTGAAAAAATACCCATGCCTCCAAAAGCTGTCCAGGTGTCTCCACACATGGATCCCATCCAAGATTCTACAGCTCCCCACAGCCCATAGGAGCTGCAGCACCCCATCACTGCCCCCGCTTTGTGTGTGATGGTTTGAAATAAAGCATCACTGCACCCCTGGGGAAGGAGCGCTGCATAGGAAGCAAGCTCTGCGCTCACCCCCTGCATCGCTGTGTCCAACTCTGTCTTCTCCAGCACCACCTCATGTCATTGTTAATGATGATTTAAAGATCCATATCCTGAGAAGCTTCTCTGAGTCCCAGGGACAGTTGCAGCCATAAATCTGCTCATTTTTCTGTGCCCTGCATCCATCAAATCAGAAAAAGCCATTAAGGATCTGTGCGTTGGGCTGATGCCCCTGAGATACTGGGGTGGGGGGTGTGTTTATCTCTTAGCTTGCAGCCCCCTTGATTCTCAGACAATGCTGCTTCATCCTGTAAATTGAATGGATGGGCTCCTTCCCTTTGTTAGCTGTATGTGTAATTAAGGGCCAACTGCTGGCACATGTGCCTGCATGGCTGGCTTTTGCAGCTGGTGATGGAGCGGCAAAGCAGCCTCCTCCCCCCAGCCCTTGCTGTCCAGGGAGGCTCCTTCTCTCCCAAAGAGCAGCCGCTGCTCTCTGCGGGGCACTGCAGGTGCATGCTCATCGCTGGGGACCTGCCCAAAATGTGTGGGCACTGCGGAGCCCTCAAAACCTCTCCAGGGCTCTTTATCTGGGATTGGGATTGTCCCTGGAGCTGCCAGCATGGGCAGCTCTTGCTGGTGCCCACTTGTGGCCCAGGGAGGGGAGGGCATAGTGCATGTTTGGGATGGGTGAGGGGACAGGGAATGTGGGGAGCTGCCATATCCCTCCTTCCCCTTCCCCCAGCAGCTCTGCCAGCCCTTGTCAGGGCCATGCACAAGCATTTGCTGCTGACAGGAGGGGATTGGTGCCCACCGGAGTTGCTGTGCCGTGGTTGCATCCTGAACCAGGCATCAGCCTCGGCTCCTGGCTGCCACGAGCGCAGGGAGAGGACCTGAGTGGGCTGTGGCGGTGCCTGGGTCGGCACCCACCTGCTCCGGGGCTGGATCTGAGCGAGGTCCTTTCCCCGCTGCTGCAGAGACCTTCCAGCAGGTTCCTCACCTCACACCACAGGGTGAGGTGGTTCTGCAGGAAGAAATAAATTAATTTCACTTCTTTTAGGCTCCTGGTTTACGATGTTCTGAATGTTCCTCTTTCCCTCCCTTGGCTAGCTGTTGCTGGACTTGCCTAAAATCAAAGGAGAGGGATCCCACTTGTACCATCTGCTTTTCCCACAGACTCTCTGGCACAGCGCAGTGGGGAGCAATGAACTTTGCAAATCCAACCCAAATGCAGATTTTTAACTCCCTTACAGAGATTACACCCAACCAACAAACCCAACATGGTGGGAACTCTCCTGCTGACATTAATGGGATTGGGATCAAGCCTGGAAATTTGACAGCATTTCTTGCTTCATCAAATGAACCCCTCTTGGTTGAGGATTTGTTGCAAACACATTCAGATTTGTTACGTTAAAGAGAACTTCTGAGCTGACAGCCCAGGGAAGCCATTCAGTCAGAATTAACAGGCACACATACAGATGCACAGATGTACAACATTTTCTTTCTCTAAAATGCAAAACTGTTTTTCTTGGCATGCAAAACACCCTACAAGAAGAAAATATTGCTATCAGCAGCAGCTAAATGCATAGGACTCAATCTGTTTATTTCACCTTGCACAGGTTTCTAAAAAAAAGTCACGTTTCCAGGGTCTTTGTGTTTCCGAAGGCTCCCAGCGAAGTGAGGGGGTGAGAGGCTCCCGTGGGCAAGCAGTGGGGAGCAGGAGTGAGCAGCGAGTGCCACAAGAGCCGCAGAGACTCCTTGAATTCAGCAAAATGATTGCCAGGCTTGTTTAACAGCTGCTGGCTGCAGAGGTACAAGGCTTTAGCCCACCGGCTTTGCCCCCACCGGTGAATACAGAGTTCACGGTGTGTGATACGCGGTGCCTGGCCAAAATCTGGCTCTGCCTGAGCTGCCCACCTCACTTCAGGGGGGTTGGTATGGACAGTAAAACCCTGTTTGCTAAACAAGCATGGGTTGGCCGCCCTGTGCTGAAAGCACGGGCTTACACATGCGTGTCAGAGATTTCCACAGCCCGGGGGAGCGGGAGCTGCTGCTCGGACAAGGGCTGGGGGTGTCAGGGACATCGCTGCGGGACTGAGATGGTGCACGGGGCCCCGCCGTGCAAACAGGGCATCTCCATAACACAAGAGCCCCCAGAACCTGGCTGGGGTGTGAAGACCACGTGCGAAGCCGGAGGAGAAGCAGCAGGAGCAGGAGGGTCCTGCAGGTCTCAGCTCCCCGTTACGCTGGGCACTAGGCAGCAGGACTCTGTGGTGCATCTTGTACAGCGTGGTGGGAGGCTGCAGTGTGCACATAAAAAGGGATGAGTCACTCAGGTCACTAATGAAAGGTCACAGCATCCTCAGATTCAGTGAGAGGCATTTATTTCTTCAGCAAAACAATTTCATTGCTGAAGTACCTTTGGCTACAGGGACAACAGACCTGACAGGTTATCTTATTTACCAAGGATATTGATCAGACTGGGGAAGGAATAGTAGATACAATTACTCCAGGTGACTTGGGAAAAAATGGTAAATATACCTGGGACTGCATGCTGTTGGTGAAGATTTTAATAAAAGAGAAAAGTCTGAGTCTTTGTCTACGCTATGCAGAGTGTTTTGACATCTGGGAGACCAACAGCTTGTGAAGAAGAACAAATCACATAAATAGAATAACATTTAGCATGACTGTGTGAGGCCATCAGTCTAATATTATTCCTGCAGTGCATGCAGTTATAAATAGGTGATGCCGTGTAGCGTGGGACCTGGGGGGAGCGGGAGCTAAGGAATGCACTTGCAGCTCGGCGGCAGCGGCACTGCGCAGCTTGCAGCCGTAACACGCATTTGTATGTGCGTTACAGAGTGACTGCGGCTGCACCCTGCAGGCAGGGATTTGTCCTCGAGGACTTGGTGAGCCCAGGCTTACTAGAGGTGTCCCATTTTTCAGACCATCCCTCTAAATATCTCCAGCAGCAAGCCCTCTGCGCCCCTTGCCAGCAGTGCTGCACAGAGACCAGGGCAGCGAGGAGCCCCCGGGAGCTGCTCTGTGCACCATGACCTGCGCTGCCTTCTCAGCAACCTGGGAGGAGACGATAGTTTGAATGTCACCCACCATCTCTGTCTTTTCCCGACCAGGAGATGCCCAGGTCAGATCAGGCTCCCTGAGGAACCCTTTGTGCCAGGGCGCAGCCCAGCTAGCCTGAAATTCTTCTGCTTGTTGGGGCTGATGGGCAAAACGTTTGCCCTAAGGAGCATCAGAAAGCTCCCAGACCTCCCAGTAGCACCACAGCTCCTCCTTGGAGCGGCTGCTTCCATGCTCTGCAGAGGACCTCCAAGGACAGGAGACAGATTAACTCTGTCCTGGCTGCCTTTGCTCCAATGTGGTCGTGCTGCTCAGCAGAGGTGGTGGAGAAACGCACACCACAGCTCCCAGTTAGCTCTTACCAGCCCAGGCCACCCGGCAGCACCGTTGTGCCTCCAGTCCAGGCCATTTAGGGTGAGAAGGTCCCACGGCAACGGGAAGCTGCTGGCACAGAGGAGAGCTCAGGGATGTTTGTTGGTGGTGATGCCAAGAGCCAGGCACTCTCAATGAATGAAGTGTTATTCTGTTGTGGAGGCAAAAGTCCCCCTAAAAAAGAGTGTGCAATGCTGGGATGGCAACACAGTGCTGTGCTGAGAGCCCAGAGGAGCCAGGGATGCAGAGAGCCCTTGGGATGCAGCTCATCTGGGTGCCTGGGGCTGCCCAAGACCCCAGCGGGTCTGCAGGACCCAGCAGAGGATGCTGAAGACTCCCCAGAGCTGCTGGGGGAAAGCATCTTTCTGTGTGCAAAGCAGAAACGATAGTCCCATCACCACAGCCACCAACCCCCTGCACTGAGCAGGGAGGAAGGGGAGAGCTCTGGCAGGTTTGCCCCAGGGCCAGCTGCAGACCAGAGACCAGTGGCGTAAGGTGCACAGTGAAGGAGATGGACCCCATGAGCCGAAATATGAGGGAGAAG